TAAAAAAAAAAAAAAAAAAAAACGAAAATACCGCAACGCAAACAAAATTGCTTTCAATGCGATAATGTATATCAAGTTACTTAAGTAGCTGTCGACATTGCAATGTTTATCCCATAAATCGTTTCCCGTTACAGTCCGCTATACGTTCAGCAATGTGTGCACACGCTACGTACCTACGTCGAACCCCATCACGCGGAGAACGCAAAGATAAGAGGAAGGGGAAACGAGTTTACGCGATATAGCCGCCATGGACCCTGTGGATATTTCTCCCTCTCTCCTTCTCGTTTACGACTAGCCGTGACCTTGACACGAATTCACACCAAGAAATTCATTGAATTAATTACTTACTAGTATCTTATCAGTGAATTATCTTTTTTAATGCTTACCGATTCGCGAATTGCGGTTTGCATCTCGCGAAACTTGATAATACGCTCGTCGTTTGCGTGACACTTATTAGGATAAATCAGACATTTTTGTTATTTTGTTAGAAATGAATATACAGAGAGAAAAATTTTTTTACATTTTCTTTCGTATTTGTTTCCTATTTGTTTGATTTAAATACATATAATCTTATATGAAATATTTATATTTTTAAATGACGATATTGCAAATCACATTATTTGATAAAAAAAATACGATTGTTTGAAACAATTTGTTTCGATGAAATAATATGTTCTTTAATTAGACTAAATGAAATAAAACATCGCGAATAACATGCAACATCGCTGTTAGATGGACGCGACAAAGTTCTATTTCTCGTAAATGAAAAAGATAGAACAAAAGACATGCAGTATTATGAGATTTTAATCATTTCTAGTGAAATGATTTCTTGAAGATAAAAATGAGAATTGCACGCAAATAGAATCTCCAAGATAAAAGTAAATTAAATATTATTTTAACAATTATTAAGATGATGAAAAAGTCTTTATAAAAATTTTAATATTTTTATTGAATTAATAAAATTGTTTAAATAATATTATAATAAAATTGTTTAAGTTAAAAGCGAAACCAATTTTAAAAAAAAAAAAATATTTTCTTTTATGCAAAAATATTTATTATTTAAAAGGTTAAACAATTTATTTTTTACCTCAAAGAATGATTCGATTGAACAAATAAATTTCTTTGGATTTTCGCAAGTTTATTAAATCTAAAAACATGTTTCTTTCTGTGTAGAAAAAACAATATTCGCCTTTAATTATATAACAGGATAATTACATTTAGAATTTAGAACAACAAAATTGAAAATGCACCTTACAATGTTTCAATGCAATGCAAAAAAATATGCAAAATGTTTTAATTTTGATCAATTTTAAATGCACTTTACAAGTTTGAAGATTTTAAGAGTAAATTTGAATTGTAGTTTGCATTGTTCAGTCATCAAGATACTAAACGCTGAAAAAGAAGAATTCGCGAAAGAATTTCGATAGCTGGAAGCTGGTGCGCGATTTCTAGGACACCGTATATATCATTCCATCCGTTTTCTCGCGCTTCAAGCTTGAAACATTAAAGCCAGAATCTAAAATTGAGATTTACGAGATCCATCTCGGCACGGATATGCGGAGAAATTACCATAACGGCGGAAAAATGGAGATAATAAGTGGAGGCTCTGTGCGCCACGAACGGAAGTTCATCGATCCGAAATTATGTATATGTCGAGAAAAATTATGTATATGTGCATCCGCATTCGTGTTGGAAGGCGGAGATATGCGCGCGCGAGCTGCATGCACACAATAGCGAAATACCGCAAATAATGTTGTTGCACCGCTATCGCTTCGCGCTACGGGTAAAGTCACCATTTCCGTGAAAATCAAATATTCAAAGAATGTAACCGCGATGTATAACACGCGATATATCTCGCGCGAATAGCTACGCAAAACCATATCTCGCGAGCAGTTATGCCAAGTTTGATCGTTGAGACGGGACATATAGCCTACATAAATTTTCTAATTCTTTCTACACAGAAAAGTTTTCTTTAAATCAACTTGAATTTGTTTAACTTAAACAATATAATTTTATATTAAATATCATTTTGAATAAAAATTGTATTGTTTTCTCGGAATATAGCATGTTAATAATAGAACGAACACTATTATTTAAAGAAAATAAAATTTGTCTTTGAATCAAATGATACTTTGGTTAAATTAAATATTGTTTCAATAAAAGAAAGAAGTTCTTTGATATTGTTGAAGCGTATAATAAAGAATGTTATTTCTTTCAAACAATTTATTAAATAAATATTTTATTTGAAATAAAGTTATTTGTTTTTGAAAAACCAAACAATCAAATGTGTTGAAACATGATTTGTTTGAACTATAAAAGATAAATGAAATCTTTGAATCTAATAAAGTTTATTAAATCCGAAGAGATCATTCTGTATGTGTAACCAGTTATTCAATCATGTAAAACATGCAGTTAACATGTAGTAAACTGTTGTCATCAATGAAAAGTAAATTCGCTGATCGACTCTTATAAGATATATAAGATATATAAGTTTTAAATATTTATAGTCAACGCCAGCTAGACATTGATTTTTGGAATGTTGACTGGTTTCTTTTTAAATATTTTCATCAGTCATTTTTAAAAAAATGACGAATAATTAATATTAGTGTGAAAGATACACTCCATCCAAAGTGCCATAAAGATCGTTTAAAATAAAGAGAGAAAGACAAAAGAGTAGAACTTAATATCTTCTCGAGTTCTTGAAAAGTAGGTTAAATTCATCGTCGAACTCTTCAATTGCACAATACCATCCGCCCGCTGGAACGTTCCAGACTATACGATTGGCGAGGAAAACTTGTCGGGAGACTCGCATACTAATTTCTTTCAAGTGACGCGTCTTGCGTCACGCATATTCAATGCCACGTGCGTATTTTTTTTTTTATTTTTGCAAGGGAGACGATGCATTCATCGCTCTCTTCCTCCGTCGCTCTCGGCCGGTCGTTTCGACGACTCGGCCTTATCGCCTTCACGTGATTTTTTTACAAAAATAGTTGCGCGGACGTAAAACACATCGACTATGGCATAGCTCGACCGAGATGACGTGTCGCCAACGATCCACCGCAGCCGCGGCTGCGTGATTTCACGCAAAAGAGCAAATAATTCAAAAGACTTTGCGCGAATGGCACGCGCACGACAAACACACTTCGGACGCGACAGATCGTTCGCGGTCAGACAACGGATAACGTTCCTCTAACGAGGCGCGGATGATCGATGAGAAAAAAGACAGGGGAAGAGAAGGAGAGAGATATTTCTGTCGCTCGCATAAATATCTTGGAGGAAATATTCTTGGCCTTTTGTCGTACGAGCGTTCATCGCGCCAATCGAGCGGTCAATCTATTTGAAGAAGCGCGTATTTTCTCCGATGAACGATAATATACATGATTGAAACACGCGTCGTACACGCGATAACCGATGCGGAAGATATTCGTGAAATACTCCTCGTTGTATTTCGCAATTTGCAAATTTGACTACTTGACTCAGATTTCCGACAGAGCTCTAATGAAAAATATTTTCGATACAAAAACGTGGAATATATTTTCAGACTACAAGAAGTATCAAAGTTTTCTCGAAATTGCAGACTATGAACGTCATCCGTCATAATCCATAACTTCTCTTCTTGTTAATGGCCGATGACTGTCGTGAGTCACCACCGTTCAGTGACACCTGCCCTGTTATATTTACATCAAGCCAAGAAACGTTGCTTAAAAAAAACGAGTAAAAAGTTAAACAGAATTATCGTCGAAAGATACATATTTCTCATTCACATTCCTTGTACCCACTTGGTGTGTCGTACAATTTGTCGCCCTACCTAAGCAAATAGAGGAGATAAAACGGAGCAAAATCGACGCGCGTGTCACGATCTGACACACATGATCCAACGCGGAACGTAGAAATCTCCGTTGTTGGTCGACTGCCAATATTCAACTATAGTCGCTACATTTAAAAGGTATTTAAAAAAAGGTTCTATTTATTCGTTTTCATTGGAGCGAGCGAATAGCGAATATCGCGAGAGAGATTCGACCGCGCGAGGCGCGGATCGGTCGTGCCAGTTACTAGTCAAGCGGACGAATTTATCGAGACAGGGCGTGGTTACGCGACCGGACAACGCGATGTTCCTGCGTCCGGACAGCGACCGACGCATGGCGCCGCGCGCGGCAATTCGCGTTTCGGCGCGACGCGGGTCACGCGCGGAAGGACCAACGCGGTCGATCTGGCAAACGGTTTCCGATCGAGGAACCGAGGACGAATCGGGAAGTCGACGACGCCGACGAGCGACGGCACTTGGCGCGGCACGAATCAATTCGTGCTGCGGCGACGTTCAGGCCGTTCGCCGCCGACACTCCGACGCTCGGAAACGGCGCGGCATCCCGCGGTCTCGCGCGCATCCAGGCGCAATCGGGTCAACGCGGGGGAAAGGGAACGAAAAAAAGAACATGAGGAGTAGTGTACTGACCTCGGTGGCTAGCTTCCCCTTGGACGCCATCTTGACAACAAGCCGGTGGCGCTCGGGCTGTCCACAACCTGACGTTACTCCGGGGCTACCTGCTGCGCGCGTCGCGGCGCGTGTTACGACTCACGCCGTCGACGTCCCTCGATGTCTTCTTCCGCAACACACACGCACGTACACACACGCATGCACACCTAAGAGTACGGCCCGTGTAATCCCTCCGTTCGTGGCACACGCGCGAACCGATCGCGCGCAACTCAACTCGCGTTCGTTATCCGTGCGGCCGAAACACGCCGCTCCGCGCGCGAGCACCGACGCGAACGCCCGTCGCTGAGAGAAAGAGACGGAGCGACTCTACGACACTCGGTGGGGAGGAGGGAGGGGGGACAGGTGGAACGGACAGAGAGCGAGAAGTGAGATACGCTGCCGCGATGACGTCACAACGCGACGCGTTTCTACGGGTAACGTGTGATATGTGATCTTTGCGGGGAGAATCGTCACGAGGGGATGGCGTGATCGTGAGCGATCGATGGGACGTATGGTAAACCGGCCGTTTCGCGCCGTCTCAGCGCGAGATCCCTTTCACTCGGTACTTAACTTTGACGAGGCACTCCCGGCGCGCGTCCCGCCGCTAATTTTCCCCCGCGTCCACCATCTTGCTGTGACTGCCGCGTCTGTGACGTCGGCCGCATCCGACGGCGCAACATGTGTCTTCCCTCGCTTCCCCGCCCCGTCTCTTTCTCTTTCTTCTCCCTCCCTCTTTCTAGCACCACCTCCCGTGCGCAGACGCTGCGAGTGGCAGTTGTGTGTACAAATATATATGTACATGTGCTTTATACCATTGACATCATATAAATAGATTTAACGTTAAATGTTTACAACAATATACAGAAAGAGAAGATAGTATTCGATAGCATTCTCCTTACAAATAGGGTTGCCATCCTCTTTTCCTCGGACACTGTCTCCTTTTTTAGGACGTCCGGGGATGTCCGGGGGGACTTTTTAAAAGCGTCCGAGATAATTATAAGCATCCGGAATTTCAAGAAATCTTCTAAATATTTTGTTTTCCTCTCGCATTACTCTGCATTACCAAACAGCACAGATATCACATAAAAGAGTTAAAAATTTTTAATTTTAATACCTAATAAAACTTACCTTAAACGAAACTTTTTATTTAAATCAAAATAGTCTGTATTTATTTAGTATCCAGTTCAATTTCTCTTTGCTCTGAATGCTAATGAACAATTAAATGTGAAATAATGATTCATTTACTAATCAATTTTAATCAATTTTAATACTTCAATAGTTCTAATCAATTTTATTACTTCAAGCGCATTTTTGTCAGGGGTTGCAACCGAAATGTCCGGGGTTTTTGGCTTGTAAGTCCTAATTTTGAAAATTTTAATATGACAACCTTATTTACAAAAGAAATTAAGAAATAGCAATGATACAGCAATAAATGGCTCTCTCTCTCTCTCTCTCTCTCTCCCCCCTCCCTCTCTCTCGCTCATTATTATACATATCATGCTTTATATCTGAAATTTTGGAATTTCTCATCTTAATTCGCAACATATTTAATATTGAAATGATCTAATACTGAATCAACTGCAAAAACCATGCGAGACATACTTTAAAATTTTTTTATAGATTATTTTTATAAAAATATTCGAGATCATTTTTGTATATACATTATTTTTTAAGAGATATAGTAGAAATTCGCCGATAAATGACTTTTTATTAACTATCTGTACATTATTTTCATTTATTCGTTGGAAAGGAAATTGGCAAGAAATATGAAAATTTGATACAAAAATTTATTTTGTTAATTATCTCTTATATTTCAATCTGATTTAATATTAATATTAGTCTTTATTCGAATTTTACATTTTAACAATTATTAAATATTATATATTAACACGAAGGCGACGAGAGTTCCTTGATCAAATCATTTTACATCACTGTCATTATCAATTATGAGCCAAATCAAATATTTACTAAATTTTAATTGCCATTTTTAATCTCATTGTCAGTAAGATACAATCTTACTATGCGTATCTTAACGCACGATTTCACTGTGTATCTCTGTTCACTGTTACGCTATAAAATCTATAACTCCAGGACAAGACGCAACTCAACTCGACGCAAATACAAAATAACAATTTTTTTCATGAAAAAAAATTGGTGATTAGAATCATTCGGTGATTTTCTTTCTTAACATAAATATATTAGAGCTATCAAAGCTATAAGATGAAAGCCTACTTGTTGACCACTTTGCCATCCATTTTGAAGCATACTTGCACGTTCTCGTTCTCGTCGACCAGACCGAACTGGATGGTTAAAGTCACAGATGGATAAGCCGGAGATATCGGCATATTGAGACTTATACGTTGCCTTGTCACCTTTGTTCAATGGGCATCCGTTCGTCAGAGACTTGCACGCGTCTTGTTCGGGATACGGATAATCTATTGTGATCCCCATCATTATCACTTTCACATCAGGTCTCAACGACTTCATATTAGCATCTATGAACAAAATAAACGTATAATCAATAGCCGGCCATTCGTTTCTTTTCGAAAATGATACTTAGCGATAGCCAAATATCAAGGCTGAATAATAATTAACTTAAAAAGTTAAAAATTAGCTAACTATAAAGTATAAAATTAAAAAATTAATAACTTTAAGTTTAGATAATTTTAAATAAACTAATGTATAACTTCAACTTATTATTTTTAAAATACATAAACTTTAATTTATTAATTTTTTTCTTAAGTAAAAATTTACCTGTGTAGAAAAAAAATTATAAACGAAAAAATGTGTTTTCATAAAAAAAACAATATTACTTTGTTATTTAATATAGACTTAATGTATAAATAAAACATTAAACATTTATTTGATGATCCATATTGTTTTGTTATTTAAAACATTTTAATTTTAAAAAATTTACAACATTCTAATTTAATAAATGTTTTTTAAAATTAATTTTTAATTTAACTTAATTTAAATTAATTTAATTCTAACTTTTAATTAAGTTATTTTTTATGTAACTTTTAATGTAGCTATATTAATTTTATGAGCCATTAATTTTAATTTAATTTAGTTAAAAAATAATATTAATTATCCAATCCTGCCAAATATTGGGATACTCGATGTGTTTTCGAGAGAGTATTTCTCAGATAATCAAACTGGCGGGTGTTTATCAACGGAAAAGCTATATTATCAACATACAACGCTATCGATGTGATCCTGATATATTGTAAACTTTGCCAACAAAATATGACGAAACAAATTAATGACAAAAGTCAATCAAACTTGTAATACAGTTTGATGCAGATTAAGGCTCCTGAGTAGTCACCGCAGCCATATTGGAATCGTGATGTTATAGGCGAGAAATGACGTCACGATTCTGTAAAGTTTATTTGCAAATAAAGAGATATTTGACTAAAATAACATCTGATATGGCTTTAAGACACTTGTGAAAATGGGCGGCTATCCTTTTTCTTCCTGATAGTCAATAAATAGCTGTAAAAGGCATGTGAAATGAAGTCTGTTCAGACAGAAAACACACAAGTTGACAGCTGTTGAAAGAAGCGAAAAAAATGCTTTACATGTAATGTCCAAAGATAATTTTAGCTGCCGCCTATTTTTACGAAGTATAAGTACGGAACAAGTTACATCTGCACCATTAAGAACATAATAACGAAAATAGCTGCGATAAAAAATTTCCGCACATCACTTATATAAAGATGAACAAGGACGAGGATAAGATGAACAAGAATGAATGAGCTTCTGTTTTTCATCGTAATGATCACTACGATCAACATGGAATTCTTAGTTGAATACTCAGGAGCCTTAATGACGGAACTTCAGCAATAAGATCTGCCGCTAATTTATTTCTAGGCTGCATTCGACAGATTCGATGAAGCTTCCGCAAACCGAATGTCAATCTGCTAATTTATCGTCGACAGCAGTTCATGTTTATTGGATCTTTTTGCATGTATAACATTACTTACTGGCAACGAAGTCCCATTGCGCGGTCAAATTAGTCCCTCTATAGAAATTGCAAGGGGAAGTATCGCATCCATCCACCCTCAATGAGGTGGGCACAGGTCCATTGTCGCACGGATCGAACGGAGTGTCCTGCAGGGATGCCGCGATGCAGAATGCAAATATGATGCATGATACTACGACGTGAAGAATGTGTCATTAAATATAACATTTCGAAAGAACACTAGGTGAAATGGAAAATGAATTAAAATACGTAGTGAGATTTACCGGCTGCGACGGCCTTCATGATGGTGTCTTTGCAGGAACGATGGCGATTGGAGTCTTCGATCAGAGCCGAAGACGGCTTTTATTTATTCGTACGATAATATCTAATCAAACACTTGTCTGTCCTAAAAATTGATAAGCACAAGATTGAAAAAAAACTTATTTAGATACTCGACAGCTAACACCTGCGCTGATGATGTTGCAAGTTTACGGAAATTATCAGTCATAAACATGGAATTTATTGTGCACTCACCGAACGATTAAAGTAATCTGCTGACAGTTAAATAAAGCAATCGCTGATAAATTTAATTTTGATAAATCTAACTTGCCCTGGCAAACAGACAGCATTGAATCAGCAACATGATATTGATGCGCAAAATGTTAAAAAAATAATTTATTTGCACCGGTCTCGTACTCTACTTACTACTTCACTTAAAAAGATAAGAGACTTCCGCCAAAAATTATAAAAGAAAAATGAGAGGGATATAATAATTATTTCTCCAGTTTATAAATGTATACAGCATATATTCATTTTTTAATGAATTATTATAACATCCTTCTTTCGAATAAAATGCAAAAAGTAACAAATGAAGAAGGAAAATCCTATTTAACTATTAAGAAAAAATTTATTATTCATTGGGTTGCCATGGTGGTACTACGACGAAACGTTGTACCAATCGGTCACGTATCCATCTCGGGGTGCTTTTGAACAATATGCGATAAAAAAAGTATCTCCACGGCTCGCATCTACAAATAATATAATAATAATTATTTTAACGTGCTAAAATATATGCATGCAATGCATAAATTTTGTAAATTTTTCAAAAAAAATTGCTTGCTTGCTTTCATTATCTCGATCATAAATTGTGTACGATTTAATTCTTAGATTCTAGTATTTTGATTATTATTAGCAGCAAAACCTACTTATAAACTGTCGAAGGATAAATGTCTAGAAGAGCATTGTCGAAGGTTTCATAAATTTTTGGATCCGATAAGACTTTTACATTGTCTTCATCTTTCATAATCGAATCCAAGGAAAAATACTCTGCGTATCGATTAAAATAGTTGCCATAAAATTGTTTCGCTTCATCCGACATGTGTTTTCTCATCTCATCAAAATGTAACCTTTGTCGTTTCATGATATTGCTTTCTGTTACAAAGCCACCTGTTGTCACAGGAAGAGAGAGAAAGAGAGAAACTTATTTTCAAATGCCTCGAGATAACTCGAAAAAAGGAAAACTTAAAAAGATAAATAAGACAGAAAGTATTTGATTTGTTCGCATATCCAGCTTATTTTTCTGAGTGCTGATAAAGTTAGATTACCAAGAATTGTGCACTAACCGGGTACAAAGGAGACTACTTCAACCCCATATTTGCTAATTTCTACGCGGAGGGAGGTGGTCCATGCATGGAGGGCGGCCTTCGTGGCTCCGTAGATGCTTATTCCCGGCAAAGGTTCATCGGCGCAATGGCTGGATATCACGATAATCCTGCTATTATTTTTTCGTAAAATCGGCATCAATTCCCGCGTGATTCTCATCGTTCCCAGCAAGTTTGTGTTTATTTGGTACTCCGCGAGATCTTGCGTTTGCCATTCGAATTCACCGAAAGTCATTACTCCCGCATTATTCACCAAGGCGCGCAACACTGCAAATGATATGATAAACAAATAAATCATACAGATTGTGAAATTACTTTATCCCTACATTTTACATTCCTACTTTCTTATCCTCATTCTCTAAATCTCTTTGAGTGATTTTACCACTAATATTTTAGAGTGATAATGATAATCACTCCAAAAAAAAGATTGTCACTCTTATTTGAACGTGCTCACTCATAACCTAAGAGTGAATTATTCACTCAAATATTTCGAGTGATTAACATAATGCGGCGCCGCGTAATATCTACAAGTTCAATGTCACTCTGGTTTAGAGCGAAAAAAGAAAAACTCTATCCCATTCCACTCTATCATGTAGTGCTGGGCTCGGATTTTTGCGCATGCTTGATAAGAGAGAAAGTGTCTCGATATAATCTCTCTGTTTCTCTAAACTGTCTTTCTCCAAAATCTTTCCATTATTTTTCTGGAGAACGAATCTTCATAATTTAAGAAAGTAAGAAATGATAAGTTATGACGCGATAAATAAACGCGTAATCTGTGCATTTGTATTCCCGCTTTAGCGTAGTAAGTCGTTATTTACTTCATATCTTAACTTAGGTTCCAACATCACAGCTAGATTAGTGTAATGTGTAGAATCTGATGTTGTAGAATTTAATATTCAAAAGATTATTCTCTCTTCAGATCCTCTATTGAAATTTGTTCTTCTGTAGGCAAAAGAGACTCTAGAAGCTGGATCGTCAAAAAATGTACCTAATAAAACACTTCTTATGTTTGGCCATGTAAGTAATAGCTTTTTTAGAATTTTTTTCTTAAATGTTCTTATTTCTTTATTTTCTTCTTTCATCTTTTTTTTTCTTTTTCTTTTATTTGTTTCAGCTCGGCCATGACATCTTAGATAGTTCGAAATCTAATAAGCGTAAGCAACCATTTTTTATCTGTACATACACCCGTCCGAGTCAGAAGAATAGGCCTATGTTTATTAGAATGGACAATCATTTGTTTTCTGTTCCTGCGGAGCTTCTTAAGTATTCTTGTAAAACTGCATTTCCGCTTTGATATTGCTTACGTTATCCAAATTGACGAATTTTTATAAGTTATTGCTGGATGCATATTTCATTTGACTTCTTCAAGAGGAGTATGCGACACATTATATAATTCATTAATGAATATTGATCTTCAGCAAGACTTTTCAGCTAATTTGTCTCAGTAAGTATTGAACTAATTTTCTAATATTTTATGTAATTAATTTCTTTACCTAATGTTTTTAGGGAAGAATGCAACTCATCTGTGATGCAATAGTATTTGCAATAATAACTATACATATTTATAATTGAAATAATAAGATTAAACTTAAAATAAAATTTAATTATACTTATTAATATATATACTTATTAATCATTTATTGTATAATCATTTAATAAAATTGTTAATTTTAAATAATCGTTTAATTGTTTCAATTTATTATACAGTTCCACCAACGTAGATTAACTTTAATCACCATTCAACTTACTTTTCATCTTTTCTAGTTTTAAGAATCAGAAAAAAATAAAGAGCAAGTTGAATCGAGATTAAAGTAAATCTACATTGGTGGGATCGGGCATTAACCTCATTTTTTTACATAGAAAATTTTTTTTCTCTTTTCTTTCATGGAGTGAATGTGTTCACTCTAGAATAAAACAATCTCACTCTGGCTAAAGAGTGAATCATAATTCAATCTATATTTATCAATACAATCTATACATTCAAGAAATGACTCCAACAGAGTGAAATTTTCCATTCTATAGTGTAACATGACATAATTCACTCTTACAAACACAGATCTACTGCACTCGAAAAAAGTCTGCCTTTTCACTCAAATCGAGTGCGATTTCATTCAAAATTTTAAAGCACAATTCAATTCTTATTTTAAGTGACGAGTCACTCGAAACGCACTAGCTCAATTTTCAATTTTCGTTATATTTCACTCGTTTTAAGTGAAATTTCATTCTACGAGATTTAGAGAGCAATCATTTGATTTTTTTTTATCGCTCACCTAATTGCCGTTCCTCTAACAGTTTTTTAATTTTCTCTCGAAAATCTTGAGTAGATTGTTCATTTGTGATATCGAGATGGTGAACGATGACGCCTTTGTTCTCCAATGCTTTGACAGCAGTATTGGAATTAGAGGCTGTTGATGCCGATGCTTTGCGCATTCCGCCCAAAACCACCGCACCCTGGGCACGACAGTGCATCGCTAGACTATAACCCAAACCGGAATTGCAACCGGTTATAACGATAAGATCCCGTGCATTTATTTTCCGTTGACGACTGAAGAAACAGAGTAGAGTAACACCACCTGAGAAGAAGAGCAACGAGAGATTTTCTTAAACGCGTTTGTTGAGCCCAACTCTTGATTCTGAATTAATATTTTCAAACTTTGTATTATTAACGTTTTTAAAACTAAAACGTAATTATATAAATGACGCGCGCGCGCGTGTGTTGATGTGTGTGTGTGTGTGTGTGTGTGTGTGTGTGTGTTGTGTGTGTGTGTGTGTGTGTGTTTCTAATGGAAAAGTTAATTAAAACATTTTTTAATGAAAATTGTCAAAGGTGTGTTATTTGACATAACTACTTGTAAAACAAGCAAAAGGTGGTAATTTTTAAACAATTGTTAATAAAAATTACAAAGTCAAGTATTTAACAAAATTAAATTAATTCCAAAATTGTATATATAAAATGCATCTTGCAGAATACAGATTTGTTAATTTTCTTATGAATATAATTATTTTATTACCATGTTTTCTTATAAAATACTTTAATACTTAAAAACTTAAAACTTTAATACTTAAAACATAAAGAAAAAAGAAGTATATTTTAAAGTCGATCAATCGTAATGTTTTTTCAAAGTATATATGATATCTAAAACAGATTTGAGGTATCATCGATGATTATATTTGGCCGAGTCAAACGAATGGAAGAAATAAGCTAAGCGAGCAGATAAATTCTCTTACCTAGCATAACCGCCGAAAGCATCGCGGTCTTTTCCATCGAATATCCGGCGTTCTTAAGAAATAAAAAATTGCCCGAAATTGTCGCTCCAATTTGTAAAGTTTTTGAATATTTTCTCAACCATGGCCATCCGCTACGGTATACTTCTTCCACTGAATTCATCTTTAAATTGCGCTATTAGATCCACTCGCAAAGTGTTTGCCTGCTATACAAATATACAAATATTAAACGACCTATTTATAAACCGGTCTCCGATCAGTCGCTACAAATTTATAAATATTATTATATAAATATCATCTATCTATTATAATATTTATATAATATTACTACATAAATATTATTATATTTAATTTAATAAATATTACATGATAAACTAGAAAATATATTTTTTATCACGTATCATTTTTGTTGGCTTTATGCTGAATAACGAGCGATTACTGCATTTGAGATGATAGTTACGTGTAGCACGGAAACATAGGAGTTGTCGCGATGCACGATCGATTATTACTCGCCGTGTATATACTCACCACATCCGTTGAGATGAGGAGAATGATCTTGCACGATCATTCCGGCTTGCGACCGGCCCCTCCTAGAACGCTACTGAAGAAATGTGACCCGATCCACCCGATCCGCGTGGCGTTGTCAAACCCGCTACTTTTCGAAATTGAATATGCGATATTGAATAACTGAGAGTCGATGTACTTTTCGTTAGGATAAATTAGCTAATTAAACAAATTAAAAACATGGGTACGAGATCATAGGCCATCGTTACCGAATAAAGGCGGAATATAAATGTATTAAAATCTCATATCTCATTTTTAATAAACAACAACAAATAATTCTAAAAGATTTTCTAATAAAATCTGTTCTAAGAAAGAATGTTGTGCTATTTTAAATAAACCATCCATGAAACAAAAAAATATATCGACAGACTGGATTTACATATATGCGGTTCTTTGGTAAGCGTTTTAATATTTCATGGGTTAGTTGTTTACGGGGATTCGACCATCTTCATTTGAATTTCAATATTCTACATCTTCAAGAAAAAGCGTATCGAACGTGTAACATATCGTATATCCTTTATCTTACTCTTATGATTCGGAAAGATATCAACCTAGCTACTTTCAAAGTTTTAATTTTCTTGCACAAGACTCAAAGATATCATTGTATCGACAGAAAAAAATATTTTTTATTGCAGTAAATAAAAAATAATTTAAGTGTATTAATATATAGAAAGATCAGTGTAAAAAGTGTAATTTTATCGTTAGAATATAATAAATAATCAATAAATAATCAACGCGCGCACACAAAATTTTATACATAGTAGAACTGAAAAGCTGTTTTGATAAAATTATGAGGTATAGAAAATAATGCATGTAAAAACAATTCTCAACATCGTCGATCATACGATAAGGATCATAGGAAAACAAATTTTTATACAATACGATAATTTTGGTACAATAGTTTCATAGAGTATCATTTATCATAGAAATTGATAAGCCTTTACAGATTTAAATGTACAACTTCGAAGTGAAGTATAATTTACATAAAAATTAAAATTAACAAATGTTACGTACACTAACTTATAATAGATATGTCCTACTGTCCCACAAAATTGTGCATTCTCGCATATTGTAATGGCATATCTTCAATTATATATTTCATGATTGCCATATCTTCTGCATTTTAAAGATTCATCGATTTCCCACGACTGCTGATTGTTGTCACTTATGATACAAAATACATTACATTACAGATTTCTCGCCAAATTTCAGATTAGGATTTGCAATTATATCAAAACTTGGATCACCATCCGTCGCCATTCTACCCAGCCACGAAAAGAGCAGGATAATTCCAATGAAAAATAATATGCCAACGATGGTTAGTATTGCATATTTCTTGTATAGATATCCCGTGGTTTTTCGTCGCACTGGGGCTCTCGAAATCAATTTCCACCATCTTCGGAACCATTCTATAGCTGACTTTCGCTGATATTTATTTTCATCATGATCGAAGGACATATCCTTTGGATCATCGTAAGCTTCACAAACTTTCCTGGATGCTGGAGCAGATAATCCTAGAGATGAATCAATATTTACGACCGAATAAGGCGGGCCAAGCTTTTGATTGCTGGTATGTACATTGCTGACAATGGAATTTGAGTTTATGGTACTACTCGTACGAGATACAGCCACCGTGGGTGACGATGGTGCAGCCACTGTATGATTTTGAAACAGGGAATTTTCTACAACTATTGGAGAACGTTCCTGTTCCGGTTTTTGTTCTCTGTCATCGCTTAGCTGCAAGCAATTGTACAATATAAAACATGTTTTATACAAAATGATGATGCTAATAGTAAGGAATATAATAATAATAAATACCAATGGTAAACCAAGACCAGCACGAGCCCAATTAACAGTGGCTAATTTTTCTCTCAAAACATCTGCCACTGGTGATACCAGTTTCGCCTGTGGAAAGATACACACTCTACATGTAGGACAAGCATATCCTGCTGGTGCAGTAGTTGCTGGCAAATCTCTGGCATATCGATCCAAACATATCCAGTGAAACATGTGATAACATGTCAATCTTACACAATCGCCATCGTTTAGTTTGTCCGAACATAACGTACAGACTGGATTATAGTCATGATCATGAAGCCATAGTAAATATGATTGCACTACACACTGTAAAAAACAAAATCATTGAATATAGATGTACATCATGATTATAACAGATATTGTATAAAAAAAAATACTGCAAAAATATATCTACATGTTTGTCAAGATATCAAAAAATAATTGAGAAAAAATTACTCTTTTTCCTTCTCTTTTTTAAACTGATCTTTTTAAATTGATTATGATCCTATAAATGAAAACAGACCACTGGACAATAGGTGCAATAGTAATGCAAAATCGAAACTAGACAAAACAAAATCAGAATTAGGATCAAAGGCGGAAATGCACAATTATTCAAGACGGAATGCGTTTCGCACAACGATTCGGAAAGGACTTCGAGAAAAAAATTACCTTCGGGTGACTTGTGACCATGCAATGTTCGCATACATTGACGCGATGTTCAAAACAAAATTGATTCGTTACTCTTCTTTTCGGACACTTGCACAGGCCCATATTGCAACGTCGTGCGACAGCGAGGGAAACGAAACGACGTTGAAACGCAGCCGGAGATTTCAACTCACAACAATACTCGCTTTATTGAATCTCGCTGTATAACATATCGAAAAAACTCAAGATAATATTACCGCTCTATTTGCACTGCCCACCATATTCCATCATCGGCCACGTCGTCTGACAATTCTTTGCAGCTAGGCGAGAACGGAAACAACCAATGGATTCAACTTCCCTCCGTTTGCATCCAATCGCAACGGAGTTGTAACAATCAACGTATCGCGCTACACAAGAAATACCGGATAACTAATATAATATATATAATGCAATGGGTTGGATGACATTATCGAATGAAATAAGTAAAAACATAAGTCAGGAATTAAAGCATGACATTCTTTAAATATAACTTTCAAATTGACATTTTGATAATACAACATTCTATGGATTATGTGCATTTTCTTACATTAAAAAAATTATTCGACTCTGAAACAAGCTTGAGATAATGATTTTTTAATTGATTTTTCGTATAATATATATACATGAAGAAAACAAGACCGTTTCTTTAAATGAAAGGAAGAAAAAAAGATACGATTATTATATCTAAATTCACTATCCAAGTCATGAGTGTATCCAGGATTTTTTGGGGGCAAGTTTTTATCAATTTTATTTAACACATAAATTAACGCAATTTTTTGCGTTAATAAATTGGATATTTTGAAATATCTCTTCGTTTCTGATTTTGAATGAGAAAAATATTAGATTTTGTAGATCATAACTTTAACTTTCTTTTAATTTTGGAAAAAGTTTGAATCTCCCCAAAGCCTTCCCGGTGATACGCCCATGGTCCAAGCATTTGAGCTGGAAGACGATTGGTCTATTTTATCATGTAGAACTTGAGCCAAGAGTAGGGAGTTTAATCCCAAGATGAAAATAAGGAGGTTATAGATATGTATCGTGAACATACATGACGCCGAATGTACGATCAAAGTTGGGGAAGACCGAACTTGATTTATATATAAATAGATTCGCATATCAACATAGAAGTACAGCATAGAATTGCGATTCTAAAATCTTGAGAAAACTTGGAAAAAATACGAGAGCTTAAATATGTCAGACCCGGAACTTGAAGCGATACGACAGCAACGTCTGGCTCAGTTGCAGACTCAATACAAGGTATTTGTCTTCAGGCTATGTATGATTTTATTTGAAGTTTATGATTATTGAAATTAGAAAATTGTGTCTGAATCGTCTGCTTGGAAGATTATTTTAATCTTTTTAACATAAACCACATAGCATACACTACTACGATTTTACAAGATTTATCCTTGAAAAATTAAATGCAACATTTAGAAGTAAAATATATTTATAATTTTTAAAGGTTAACTTGTATAAATTTTATAGACTTAAGATTGTTTAAATGAATTGCTTCAGGGTAATAATGTTGACGATAAACAATCAATGGAAGAGAGGATGCAACAGATGGAAGACATGAAGCATGCTATATTGACTCAAGTGTTAGATCAATCAGCTAGAGCAAGATGTAAAGATTTATCTTATTATTGATATCATTGGAGAATATTAATAACAGTGTATAAAAAATATATTATTATTATTATTATTATTACTT